AAAATTGATCTAGGATATACAAACACTTACCAAGAAAACATTGAACCAGAAATTAAATTCGATGAATGCTTTGTATGCCCTAGTGAAAAAATAAATACCTTATTTACCAATATTGAACGAATTGGATCAGGAACATTTGGTGAAGTGTACAAGGCGACACATAAATTCACCAACAAAGTATCTGCTATTAAAATGACCGATATAAGTAAATATAATTTTATAATCGTAAAATTATTTTAATTAAAATTATTTCTATTGTAACAAGGTGCCTTAGCTATTAGGGAGTTACAAATGTTGCTTCAAGTACAATCGCAATTCGTGGTTTCATATTATTCATTCTGGTCAGATAATAACAATTTGTTTATTCAAATGGAATATTGCCAAGATACATTACGAAACATTTTAAAAGTCCGCTTGGGCACATTTAATAGACAGCACGGTGAATTAATGAATCTAGTTGAATATTATATATTCTCGGAAATATTCCGGGAACTTTTAGAATGTGTAAATTATTTGCACACGCTAGAAATTCCCGTAATTCATCGAGATCTAAAACCAGCCAATGTACTGATATCCTACGATATTCTGAATAATCGAAGATTTTTAAAATTATGCGATTTTGGTCTGGCTACTTTCCAGAATCGTAGTCAACAGAGTCATACTGTGGGGTGGGGTCACCAAAGTATACGCCCACTGAAGTATTTGATCCTATCTATGATACAAAACGCGATATTTATAGCCTCGGTGTAATTGCACAGAAAATGTTCGAGATCAATTTTAACGGGTATTTGTAGTTATATTACATTTATTAATACAATTTAAATTATTTAATTTTATTATAATTGTTTTAATAACGTTTAATTTATAATATAAAATTGAATTTCCAAAGTTCAATAAAAACTTTGATTAGAACACTAATAGTTATAATTAGAGATTACCCAAAGATATAATAAGCAAATGCTAAAGTAATATTTAAATGATTTATGTTAATAGTTACAGTTTAAAATATATAAAATAATAGGGTAAAATACCCTTGTTGTTATTGGTTAACATATACGCAAATTAATTATATAAAATATTAACATTGAAATTAAATATTGATAAAAAATTTATATTTACAGCTCTAAATCTGGTCAATACCTAAACCAAAAATGTTTTAAGAAATTATACAAAATTGTGAAAAAGATGACAAATTATGTCTATAATAAACGCCCCAATTGTGACCATATTATCGGACGCATACAAGTGGACAGTGGACAGGGATGTCGTGTTAAGAGATGGTAGCTATAAAAGTACAGTCAAAATACTCGAATCATTTGACAATCCGTTTTTTATCATATTTTTAAAAACCAAACTAAACCAGTCCATTCTAAAAATTTGATTTTATTTATTAAAATTATGTGACATTATAAATAATACAGAAAATAATAATTTTATATTAGTTGTATACAAATTATATTGTTATAATTCAGTGAGGTTTGCTATCTTAATAAATGTATTATTTTCTGAAATATCAAATTAATAAAGATAATTATTAGATAATTATCTTTAATAAAAATAAAATTTACGCTACTGTAGTAAATACTGTTAGTGTATTAATAGAAATTTAAAAAAATAATTTTATATTTATCTTCACACCCAATTTAATTATAATACATTAGAATGTATTTACAAAGTAACAATTATATTAAAGTTACAGTTTTCATAAATTATTTTTGAATTTTTGTCTTTGACTAAAATAATCTAAGAGAGTAATTAATGCCATCACCTGGTTGTGTAGTTCGGCACTCAATTATAAACGGAACCGAAGGTTTTGGGTTAACCGTAAAGTACAGAAATAGGGAATTCTAAGATTTAAAGTAAATATTGTAGCTAGCTATTATTAAATATAATATTGCGAGAATATGAAAGAGATCTTTAAATTTTGCTTTAATATGACTATTATAATATTTAATGGTTCTACCTTCAAAGGCCTAAAACCGAAAAGGCCTAAACCTGAAAAGGCCTAAACTCATATAACTAACTGACCGGTGGACACATTTTTAATTTGATGAGTGGAAAAGCCTTGACAAATTAAATATGCATTATTTTTTAATATTATATATTTTTTGCTGTGACACAATTAAAACGTTTATTTATATTTTAATCAACACATACTGTACACATACTGTACACACACACACACACACACACCGTGTGTACACACCGTGTGTACACACCACCTCTAGCAACAAATCCAATTATTAATTACAAACTATTATAATCAATAAAATAAATGGAAAAATATGGTTTGAATCGGAGGATACCATAAATATGGTTATGAGATACTTATTGTAAATTAAAATTATTAAATTATATAAATTACAGTTTGTGCACCAATAAAAGTATTATAATATCAGAAAAATATATAATTTTGTTTTTAGTGAATTTAATAATGAACTTGTTATTATTAGGATGTTGATACATTTATTTAATCAATTGAAACTAATAAAAAACACAAACTATGCACTAATATCGTCTAAAATGCACTCGAAATGTACTTTAAATTATTTCATTGTGTAACATTAACGTACTTGAGATTATTTCGTAATGCTTATAAATAATATACGACCTCAATATAAAGTTTAACAAATTATTTTGTCATGCAAAACTTATAATAACATTTATAACATGTGATATGGTAAAGTACAAGCTTAGTGCAGTTTGAAAACATTTATAAACTATATAAATTGTCTTGCATATTATAAATAATAAAGTTTCAACAAAAAATTTTTAAAAATCAATTAAATAATAAATAGATATTTTTGAAATAATGGGCAAAAAGTTAAAAATCTTATTTTCATCCATTGAAGGTGGGGGCCATATGAATGCCTGCATTGATATAGCCCAGGTGCTAATTGATAGTGGTCATCGGTGTATATTTGCCATCAGTAATATCTGGGAGGGAAAGTTAGTTAAATATGGCATTGAAGAGTGTTTCCTAAATAACTACAAAGTTGGTGATGGTGATGACCCTGCTCATTTTTGGGGCAGTTTATTTGTTGAATGCGGTGCACTTACAGGTGCCTCAGCTTTGGACAAACGGAAGGCCTTTGTGAGTAAAGTTCATAAGGCATGCGCCGATATCTATAAGCAGGTAGACAAGGATTTGGAAAGTATTATAAGCGAGGTAAAACCCGATGTCATTATTGTGGACAATTTGGTTAATCTACCGTCAGTCCTGAAAAGTGGTATACCCTGGGTATGGTGCGTTAGCTTTAATCCGAATTTCGTGATTGACAATGTGGATTCACCACCACCTGGATCAGGTTTATATTATTTATTTTTCAGTACTGTACTGTTGAAACTATAGTATATAATTTATATAACTTTGTATTTAATTTTTATATTTAAATCTATTCTCTCTCTCGCTTTCTCGCTCTCTCTTGCTCTCTCTCTCTCTCTCGCTCTCTCTCTCTCTCTCGCTCTCGACTTACTGTAGATGTAACAAGATAAATGTTATATGTAATATAATAACACAATTAATGATATACTAACAAAGGTCTGCCGATTAACGGGAATCGTGAGGAGTGGAAAGCTTTTCGGGAGGCCGTCTTTCCTGTAATGGAAAGTATACGAAAGGAATACAATGAATATCTTGTGTCCCATGGGTTGGAAACAGTGAAGAGCGGAGTATTACTCAACGAATCCAAGTATTTGAATATTTATGGCTTCCCTAAGGAGTTGGAGTATACGGACATCAGACCATTGGGTGACACGTGGTATCAGTTTGATAACCTCAAGCGCACGGAAAAAGAGGTGGAGTTTGAGATACCGGTGCCGTTGAGGGATAGACCGGGAAAGTTGATGTACTTCTCGTTGGGATCGATGGGTGCGGCGGACGTAAAGAATATGAAAAGATTAGTGAATATTTTGTCGAAATCTAAGCACAGATTCATTGTATCGAAAGGACCTAAACATTCGGAGTATGAGTTGCCAGACAACATGTGGGGCCTGCAGTCTGTCCCTCAGCTCCAAGTCCTACCGTTAGTTGATTTGGTTGTAACCCATGGAGGGAACAACACTATCACCGAAACCTTTCACTTCGGGAAACCTATGATACTCTTACCCCTATTTGCGGATCAATACGATAACGCACAGAGAGTGGAGGACAAGGGGTATGGTATACGACTCGATGCCTACCAGTGCTCTGAGTCCGAGTTATTGACAGCAATTGACACACTATTAAACGACAATATATTAAAGCAAAAGCTGCAAAATATATCGCAAAGAATACAATCGGATAATAGTATCGCAAAACTGCCACAAATTATTGAACAATTAGTTATAAATAATAAATAATATTAGAATTAAACGTTGAAGATCATTTGTTTATAATATAATACAATTAATTTAAAAATAATAATGTTTATTAAATAATTATATATTATTAATAATATGATATTAGTCTAAATTGGAAAATAAAATAAATAAATACATTCAAAGACTATTCTTACAATAAATATTTGTTAATATTTGTTATTTTTGTAAAAAAAAATGTTAAATAAAATAAAAATATTAAAATATTTTAAATTTTTTAAACAAATAACAATAATAATTAATTATTCATCAATATTTCTAAATTTTATTACATTACTAAGTTAGTTAATATGATTGATGGAAAATTTTATTTTTAAACGTTAGTGTATTTAAACTAAATCCTCTAAAAATAATTTTTAAATATATTTTTAAAAATAAATTATAATTGAAAAGAATTAAATATTTTTCTACAAATTAAATGCTATTATAAAAATACCATTATGACTTGTGAATTAAATAAATGAATTTACACAATGTTTTTAAATTATTGATTATTTTTATTAATTGCTAATTTATTACATTTAACAACTTTAATTTATATTACCCTTAAAATAAATATTAATTATTAAATAATTTATTGTATTTTCATATACCCTATTAGGTGACCATCATTTTATAAATAAATTTATTTAGCTTTTAATCTATTTTTTAATATAAACCCTTAACCAATCCCAAGCCTCGTGGAGACCGTGATTATTTTTTGCGCTCACGTGACACACGTGCCACCTATTGGTCAACGCGTGTAGACCTAATTCATCGCTAATCCTATCACACGGTAGACACTCACGTGACTCGCATTTATTAACCATAACCAACACTTTGACCCGTGACTCGCGCCTACACTCACCTAATACGTCAGTTAATAAATTACGTGCGGCGGCCATATTGGAAATGTCTGTACCATCGACTACCAGTGCGACTGCGCGCGCATTTTGAAAATACTCCGGCCATTGGTCACGCATTTTGTACATATATAGACCGCCAAAATCCCACAAAATAAACGCACGTTTTTTATACTCAATGTACTCGACGTTAAACCCAACGGTGGGTATAGTTTCGTAAAAGTCCGAAGTTTTTAGACGATATAATATTGCGGTCTTTCCGGCACCGGTAGGCCCCACCAGTAACACAGGGTATTGCCGTTGAGTGAATAGTTTATCAGCAATGTTCATTAATATGTTGCCCATTGTAGGATGTTCAATATTGATTATAATTTTGAACTTATAATAAGCTAATCATGATGAATGTGCACAATTTCAAAAATAATACTGTTAATTGCTACCGGATTTTTGTTATTATGAATTTACACATAATATAAACACAATAAAAATGTAGTATTTATTAACCTTTAAAACATATAAAATATTAGATAATTTTTATTACACCTCGCAGATAATAGTAAAAATATATTTGATTTAATAACTCACAACACATTATATAATTTAGACTTAAATATCATGCTAGTACCAAAATTACTAGCAATCATTACACCGAAACTATGATTTTGCAAATTAACATATTTTATTTATAAATTGTTGACACAGATTATTGTAATTGTCATATAATGTGCTATGTATTTGTATGGTAGTAACGTATACTGGCATGTTGTAATAGTATGGAAATATTTGTTATCAACAGGTTTTCAATGTGTAAATAGACGTGAAGTTTTCGTATAAATAATACACTTATAATGCGTTTGTATTATCAAATCAAACACTGTGTGGATATATAAACAATTTTCAAGTGTACCTGCTATTACGTGACTAGTCTATTGTGCACACATTGCACACTTGAATAATTTATACGTATGTGCAAAAATGTATTTAAATATTTTATGTGTGTATCGGTAAAGTTGATTATCTCATAAATTATTTAATTCTGTGCCAGATTGTTTTACATTTAATTAATGATTAAAATATAAAAATTGTTTCTAATAAAAAAATTAAAAAAGAATTTATATTTAATATATTTCAAGCTAATCTACAGGTTGTAGCACCTAGTTTGCTTTATACAAAATACTATTTAATTAAGGCTGATATTTTAAAAATACATGCATATTACATTAAAAATGTAATTCTCCTTATAACATAAAGTAATTCAATTGACAAATATAATTATGAAATTGTTTTCACGTTAATAAAACTAATATTGTATCTATAAAATCTATTAAGGCATTTAATATAATAATATTAACAGAACACGTTAACGATACAGGTGCTATTATACGGTAATTTATACCGGTACAGTATATTGTACAATATTTACTTATACTGTGCACTATGCAGCATTGTCATACGATATAAACTAATTGATATACAGTTAATTAATTAATTAATTAATAAGTAACTAGTAACTAATTAATAAAAATCTAATTCTTATTAATGTTAAATATATTCATTTTATAAAGTGTCATGTAATATAATATAATGTGAATTATTAATAAGTACCTATTATAAGTTGTATAATATGGTTGATGAAATTAAATGCAATGAAATGTTACCAGGATTACTATATTTTTATTTACCTCGTTGTATGCAAATATATTTATATTGGCCAAAATTATTGTATTCCTATTATATTTAGATTTTTAATGACCTTGCTTCTAATTATGCACTATTCATCGAACTTAAATCATCAAGCTAATATAGGTTACAAGCTATTGAACATGATATTTGTGAGGCCTACAATATTTATGCAATTTCTGCGAAACTTAAAGTAAGAGTTATTTAAGTAAAATGTTGCTTGATGCATTTTTGTTTTATTATAGATGATGTCATTAATGGAAAGGTTGGCCACAAAAAGGGTTGGCTTTTACTGTTGGAAACTATTCCTAATCAATAGATTCAGGGGATAGGAGGTATTTATTTATCAAGGATATTTTATTATTATTAATTAATGTTATATTTTTATTACAGATACTATGCTTAATAGCTATGTTATTTCTCAAAATTGTAGATTTATCTAGCAAATAAATAACATTTTAGTTACACTAATAAAATAATATAAATATAAAAATATTGTTTTATTAATAAATATTGTTTTTAAATAATCAATGTCAAATTTTGTATAATTATAAATTTATATTATTTAATTTCATTTGCTAGCCAATCAAAAACTATATAAACATCATCAGAATTAGATGTGCACACACCTAATATATTCCACTTATGTCCAGTCAACTTATTATCAAGGTCCAATTTAGCACTAATATCTGACACAGACATAGCACCGGGCATATCCTGTTTTGTGGCCACAATTAACACAATCGCATCCCGGAGCTGATCATCGGCTAATAGTATGTCACACAACACATGCTTAATGTCCGGTAGGCGACGCTCATCACAACTGTCCACTAGGAATACCAGTGCCGATGACTTGGCATAAAAAGGGGGCCAATAGGGGGCGTATTTATCCGGGTGTTCAACGCTAAATGAGTTGATTAATAAGTTATCGCTTTCTATGAAATCCACTTCCAGTCCCGGCACCGGTAGTTCACAGTAATATTCACCGAGTATTATATTAAATAGTAGGGTAGTTTTACCCGATGACTTTGCGCCCACAATAGTTACACGGGTCATTTTCGGTTTAGCAATCCTAATACAATTACCCATGTTGTTTATTAATAGTCACAAAATTATTAAGTATGCTAGTTAAATAATTAATATACAATAATATGTAAAGTATGATAACTAAAAATTGTTAACACATTGTATTGTATTATAGTAAGTTAAATAAATTGAGTTTATTACATTAGTTAACAATTATAAATATATATATATATATATATATATGTATCCGGTTCATTAATAGAATATAAATTTATTATTGAAATATTATTGCAAATAGTAACATGAAATACTGTTTACTATTTTCATCACATGTTACTGTATATGACGTAAGTTTTATTGATTAAATACATGAGGTATTTATGTGACGTATTTTAAAAAGCGGTTAAATAGTTGGTATTTAAAAAATAATTTTTTATGATTAATACTTTAACATTTTGTCATTAGATGGTGTTTCACCTAGCTACAGTATGATATGCTAATTAAATTGTTTTATTATATATATTATATAATTCATCACATGCAGTTTTTTATTATTTGGTCATGGGTAATTAAGTTTGGAAAATTGTTTATTCATTTAAAGCCCTACACCAAGTTAAATATACTTCTAATTATTATTTAGAATTAAGCGAAATTAAATTATAAAACATTTTATTTCTAATAAAATTATTTTAAAAAATATTTGAGAACTAATTGTTCAATAATTTCGGTCAATTTTGTGATACTATTAACAGATTAAATGAAAAATTTTCATAAATGAATGGATAGATTAGATGATTAGGTTTCTGTCACTCCCGTCGAGTAGTGATCGGTTAGTGTCGACACATATCGGCGCGTTTGAGGGCAGACTGTGTTTGTGGGCAATGAATACGTATAGAGTATAGAGTGGACACCAAAACATTCATATCGTGTCTCACTTTCATTGTGTCCTACGCTGTAGTACTCATCCAAACGACACAACATTAAGTTGATCTAGATTATATACATTTTATTATCCTTTGAGTCTATTAGCATAAAATGTACGCTCAATTGTGTAGCATTGTATTATATTTGTATAACTTTTGATTAATATATTTAAATTTAAATTGTTATTTTATAAAACTATTATAAGAAATTTAATTAATTTATTGAGTAGAGTATACTATTTTATATTTATAATGTAAAAA